AAGCAGTCCGAGCCAAAACGGTCTAGCCAAAGTACAAAGGTGAGATGGAGAGATCCTGGGCTCTAATTCCCTTTGTGAGTATTAAATTGTGCTTGAATGAGAACTGGATGCCCGGGACGGAGTAGGAAACTAACAAATTCCTCTCAAAAGTAAGTGCCCCGACCAACCCAAACCACAGTGCTCTTGGAAAACAGCTATGACTCTGGGAATGGCGTGCTTTAATGCTGAAGAGGGAAACAGAGGGGAGTGGGGGAACTAAAAATAACCCAAGGGAGGAAATTCAAGACAAACTCAATTGTGCCATTACAGTTTAATATCATTAACATGTTGTTTAAGTAAATATCAGTGGTCTCTCAGAGCAAACCGCTATTTTTCCGCAGGTTACTGAGCGGGCTACGTTGACGCGGAGATGTCTTCATTTGTTTTGGTTGTGACAGCACAGATGAGGTCCAAGCATAGCAAACTCCGCCCTGCCTATAATAGTCTGACCTTAAACACAGTCCACGGACAGACGTGTAATTTAAGCAGCACTCTTCCACATACACGCACGCACACACACACACACGCAGAAAGCCTACAGAGAGAGAGGGAGATAAAAGAGAGGCTTGTTGAATCAGCTCTGATAGTGCAGACGTAAACACACAGGCCTGTGTGCTGATACACCTGCTGCCTACCCTGCTTGGCTCCTCTCCATACAGAGTGAAGGATGAGTGAGAGGAGTATATAGTGTCTCAGAAACAGCTGCTGCTAATAAAGCCCAGCGACGCTGCTGTAATTAACCTTACTGTCACTCCGCCTCTGTTTTAATCACAATCACAGAGATTACAGTGACAGAAATTTCACTTTTACATACTGAAAGTACAGTGCTCAAACCCTACAGAGCTTCTCTAGGGTCCCCCCCCTAAGCATAGCAAACTCCGCCCTGCCTATAATAGTCTGACCTTAAACACAGTCCACGGACAGACGTGTAATTTAAGCAGCACTCTTCCACATACACGCACGCACACACACACACACACGCAGAAAGCCTACAGAGAGAGAGGGAGATAAAAGAGAGGCTTGTTGAATCAGCTCTGATAGTGCAGACGTAAACACACAGGCCTGTGTGCTGATACACCTGCTGCCTACCCTGCTTGGCTCCTCTCCATACAGAGTGAAGGATGAGTGAGAGGAGTATATAGTGTCTCAGAAACAGCTGCTGCTAATAAAGCCCAGCGACGCTGCTGTAATTAACCTTACTGTCACTCCGCCTCTGTTTTAATCACAATCACAGAGATTACAGTGACAGAAATTTCACTTTTACATACTGAAAGTACAGTGCTCAAACCCTACAGAGCTTCTCTAGGGTCCCCCCCCCAAATTAAAGTAGTTCAGATTTCTCAGATTTTCCCATTTTATTTCATTAAAATAAATCATTTTGCACACATTTTTTTTCATTTGATGCTTTTCCTTACAACACAAATGTGCAATAACAGCTGGATATTACAGTTATTATAATTCTACAAGAAACTTCAAAGATCTAAACTCCAAAACAGCATTAAGTTCATAAACACAAGGCAAAAATCAAGGATTGGTTTATGATTTTAAACCCATTCTTACTGATGATACCAACACTATGGCAAATCATTCTTGCATTCATCATTCATTATCAAACAAATGTCAGAGATTTTGCAAGGTCTAATAATGCATTCACTACCATTCAAAAGTTTGGGGTCGGTAATAATTTTTTTTTGTTTTATGTTTTTGAGTTTCCTAGGCAACATTCATTTGATTAAAAATGCTTTAAAACAGTAGTAGCTGTAGTACTGTTAAATAGAATTACAATTTAAAATACATTTTTCTATTTTAAAATGTCATTTATGATGGCAAAGCTGAAATTTCAGCAACTGTTGGTGCTCAAGAAACATTTATAATTATTATCAATGACGAAAACCGTTAAAAACTGCTTAATGTTAATATTCTAAACCATAACACTTTTTCAGGATTCTTCGATGAACAGAAAGATCAAAATAATTTATTTTAAATTATAATCTTTGAGATATTACAAAAGTCTTTGTAACGTCTAACCAGTTGAATGCGTTCTTGCTGAATAAAAGTAGTTGTTTTCGCAAAGTGAGGGATGAGATGGATTTATTTGCTGCGGTAATCGACAGCATGTGATAGATGCCATCCATACAGCTTAACTTGTATTGAACTGAACGTTCCTTTAAACACAGTATGTTTTTGCTGAAATGTCTGCAGAAGTGTAATCTGTGCAATACGTTCACTGTAATCTCCCCAGCGTGTGTTAACTGTAATCTTGTGTGTGTGTGTGGTTGCTATAATCTCTCTCTACTGTAGGTCAGAGGTGCTTCACTGGCTGTATTGTGTTTATATACAAGATGTGGAAGTCAATGTTGTGCATGTAATAGGGTGTGGTCTTCCAGCTGTGGCTTTGTGCATACGATTGAGCTGCAACTCAAAGCATCACACCAAACACACAATTAACTGACTGACAAACCTACTCATCTGACAAGAATAAACAATAAATCTTTCATTGTGAACGGAGAAGAAGTGTAAGGTGCAACCAGCTGGGTTCAAAACCAACTTTAGAAGTTCATGCCAAGCTTTAAATGTAAACTTCATGGCAATGTGGCGTTTACTCAAAACCACATGGCTCAAGACGACCTATAAAATCTATAAGTAAACACTTTTACGTTGAAAGCACATTCTTGCTGATTAAATCAGTGGAAAAGTGGAAAAACATCCCTGTACAGTACAATAACTTTACAAAATCTTTTAAAAACACGCTCAAAAATAAAGGTTCTAAAAGGCGTTTTTTGCAGCGATGGGAAAGGGATTTTTGGTTCCCTAAAGAATCTTTCAGTGATCATTTCTTAAAAAATGTGTTCTTAGTGTTTCATAAACTAAACATTTAGTCTAAGAACATTTCATAAACTAAATAACCTTTTTACACTATAAAGAACTTTTTGTGCATTGAAAAGGTTCCATGGATGTTTAAGGTTCTTCATGGAACCATAGATTCCAATAAAGAACCTTTATTTTTTAAGAGTGAATAAAGTCTCTTTTACTGGCATTGATGGTTCTGTGAAGGACATTTAACATCCATGGAACTAGGGCTACACAATATATAGTTTCAGCATCAACATCGCGATGTGCGCATCCACGTTAGTCACATCGCAGGATGTGCGATGTTTAGTATAGGCTACTGATCATTATATTTATACTGATTGTTTTCTTTGCTCACTCACAGACACGGTGTCTACACCGGACGCGACAGCTGTACAGAGATACCCATTTCTAAATACATTTAGTAGCAGAGCTACAGCAAGCGATTTTCTGTGCTGGAAATCCGTTTATCCTTTGTTGAAACTACCGCGTCATTGCGGAGAGTGTGGGTCACGGTTCCCTTAGCAACAGCAGACTCCACGAAAGCACAAACTTCCGAGCGCTTTGAAAAGAAGGAGAAAGCAGTGCTGCTGAAGTTTTCCACCCGCAACATGTGAACGGCCCCAAAGTCGGTCTACACCGGATGCGACAGAGACCGTTGTATATCATTTGAACTTTGTGTCAGTACGTCATAAACGAGGCATCAGTTTACTGTCTGGGATTTGTCGTGTCGCGCAGTGTAGTCAGTCACACAGCATCACTGATTAAAATGGGTTCATAGTATTTTGTCGCACCCGGTGTAGACCCGGTGAGAGCCAAGCAGATGCACGTGAACACTAATTTCTGTTCACTTCTGCGTCTATTTGTGTCTGAAATACTGTGCTCTGCAAGCATCCTTGTAAACACAGTTGCTTATGGCTTAGGTCAAGGGTAGGCAAGTTCGGTCCTAGAGAGCCGCAGTCCTGCAGAGTTCAGCTCCAACTCTGAAAACAAAACTCACCTGCCTATAGCCTTAGTAATCCTGAAGTCATTGATTAGCTTGTTCAGGTGTGTTTGATTAGGGTTGGAGCTGAACTCTGCAGGACTGCGGCTCTCTAGGACCGAACTTGCCTACCCCTGGCTTAGGTGAAGGTAAACAATTGTATGTAACTAACAAATTGGATGTGTAACAGTATATTGGTTCACAGCAGTTTAATGTTCCTGTTGCTTTCTCTGTCATGAACGTTAATTAAACAACAAAACACAAAGAAAAATCACTTTTGTAGCTTTAACACATATTTATTAGATTTAATTTATAGTGAAAATTATGCAGTGTTATTTTACACTTGTTATTTATTGTTCTGTTATTTATCTATGCTTGTAATTTGTTTATTTCCTATGCTGATTTACTCGCCTACAAAATCACCAATTTTTTTTTTTTCCCCAAATAGAGCTATTGAAGTCATCTGATTTTTTTTTCATATCGTAGGAAAAAAAATATCGTAATGTGAGTTTTTTCCAATATCGTGCAGCCCTACATGGAACCTTTTCAATGCACAAAAGGTTCTTTATAGTGGAAGGTTTTTTTTTTTTTCATTTGTTTGTTTTCGTTTTTAAATATATTTTAAAAAATGTTTTCACACTAAGAAAAACAGTTCCAAGAACTATTTTCTGAAGGTTCTTTGGAAAACCAAAAACAGTTATTTTATGGTATCACAGCTAAAACCCCTTTTGGAACCTTTTTTCCACATGTGGTGTTCCCAGACAAAAATGGCTGGCCTACAAAAAATTTTCTATATTATTTCCAAATATTGGATTCAGCCTTTTTATCAACTTGTTTCTTTCAAAACATTTTATATTTCTTTTTGGAACTAACTGATCATAGGCCTCATTTTTAATGCTCATTTTTATCCACAATTAATGCTTTTTACTCAAAAATTTAGGTGCATAATCTCAAATCAATGAGGCCAATTATCAATCAGTTCCAAAAAGAAATACAAAACCTGTGGTAATTGAAAAAAATCAAGTTGATAAAAAGACAATCCAAGATTTGTGGAGAAACCGCATAATAAAAGATTTACAAGCAATTTTTAAAAGCCCAGTCATTTCAGAGTGTGTTTGTGTTTTCTTACTGGACTCTGTAGTATCTGTGTGACCCTTTTCTTCTGCTCCATCATGTTGAAGTCTTGTCGCAGGTCGGGTGACATGTTGCGTGCACGCAGGTATTCAGGGTCGTTTTCGTTGATGCGGTCGAAGTAGCCCTCCCTTTTCCCCACGCTTGGGGGCGGAGGGGTCGTCACCACCCCCTGTCTCGACTCGCCACTCATCTCTACTGTATTTTCCTGCGGTCTTCACCTGGAGAGAAAGAGAGAGATTTTGCTTGAGCATGTGCATATTCTGTGCGGAAATGTCATTATCTATGAAAAATCTCTAAATACTTATTTTTGCACATCCCTAGTAAACACCAAACAATACATACTGCACTGACTGAATCAAAAAACCTGAGAGAGGAAGTCTGTGCACTTCATTTGACAGGCAAAACAGTCTCGATCAGTAATGCCCCAAGGACAAACTCATCATCCCACACAAATGCGCACCTAATTCCACCCATCAATACAATCAAAAATCCGGCAACTGCACATTAGCTGAACTCTCTTGCTCAGAGTAGCGCTATTCACAATGGACTTCGTTCTTTGTTCACCTTCAAAAAAAAAAAAGAAAAGAGTGGCTGTCCTGTCAACAGTGAAGGGTGGCATCAGGTCAACCAACAGGAGGGCAGCACTATCCTATAACACTATCAGGTTTAGTTAAGCCTGATTTTTGTTCTCTCTCTCTCACACACACACACACACACACACACTATTGTCGCAGGCATGTGGATTTTTCCGCTTCACAATGGTGATTATCTCTTCAACACAAACAATAATGCAGAATATTAATAACTATGACTGGAACTATCATATACATAACATTATAATGAGAACACTTATAATAAAATGCTGTGAATTTTTAGAGTTTAGTTGCCATGTTTCGCTGTGGGATTGCAGGCATTGTGCTTAATTCTACACATTCCCGCAGGTTTTGCGATTATAAAGCGGGAAATTCCCACAAACATTTATGCAATAGCATTTAGGTTGAGTCCAAACATATTATCAGAGCAGATGAGTCGTTTTAAAACTTTCTGTGAGATGGAATTTCACAAAGAGTGATTGGGATTGAGCAGTACTGCGTCTTCTCCTACTCTCTCAAAATGCACAAATAGCCTCACATCCCTAATATCACGCTGAGTTTGCTCTGCAAGCGAGCTGCACGCAAGACTAGCACGGGTTTCGGACAGTTGATGGAACAGTCACTTGCACGGCATTTTAAGTCATGCCAATTTAAACATTCAAGCTATTTTAACCTACCTTAAGTACTCGCACACTCTCTAAGAGAGCTTGCGCTCTCTGCTAAAGCGTGCACAGCCGCCTCTCAAAAAACTTGCGACTCTCGAATGTGTCAGATTGAGTTAGTACATATTTGATTAAAATAATTTCCTAATTCAAGGCTCGAAATTGCGACCACTTTGGTCGCATATGCTCCCGAAATTTAATCTGTGCGACCTCAAAATATATTTGGGAGCATTTGTGCGAGTGCATATAATTGTTGTCGTGCGACCGGTTTTAGTTTCTCTAAAAACGTTCAGAGTATGTGCCTTCTGAGGCACCTGTCTGCCGTTCTATGAAACGTTAGGCTACATAACCAATTAAACTTCATCTTTACGTTCTTAACTTTAATGCAGATTTTAGATTGGTTAATATTAGCTGTCAATCACCCAGTCACTGCTTTCCGCTGTCAGGTGACAGGGAGCTAACTAACGCGGGGAATGTAAAGGGCTGAAGAAGAGAGAAAATAAAAAAAGAAACACTGACAGATTTATTTTGTGAACCACCTAAAGTTACAAATAATGGTGCTGGTGATAGCGATCATGTGGTGAATGTTGATCCACCAGCCGAATAGAAGGTGTACAGTTTTCGGAGAGAGTGGTTGAAAGACTTCTGGTGGCTCCGCTATGAAAATGGTTCTATGCACTGCGTTCACTGTAAAGCCTGTGGGACGGAGTTTGCAGGTGACAGCGTTCACCATCGAATCTACACATTTCGTAATTGTGGTTTTACGATGACATTATCAAGTATATTGCAAAATCAAATCTGAACACAACACACCTACAGAGAGTGCACGCATACATGACGTGAAGTCTATTAGGTTAGATTAGTGCATTTAGAGTGCGTTCTTCAACGGCATGATTCAGTCTATTATAATGCATCACAAAATTCAAGATATAGGGCCTTTACATCATTTCATATCGTTCAGGGGTAGGCAACGTCGGTCCTGGAGTGCCGATGTCCTGCAGAGTTTAGCTCCAACCCTGAAAAAAAACCTCACTTGTCTGTAGCCTTAGTAATCCTGAAGACCTTGATTAGCTTGTTCAGGTGTGTTTGATTAGGGTTAGAGCTAAACTCTGCAGTACAGCGGCACTCCGACGTTGCCTATCCCTGATATAGTATCAATATCACAAGAAGAGTGCCGTTTCCTCCAAAAATCAGCCTGATTCCAAATGTGATATTGATTTTATACAACTGTTCAATAAAAAAAATTGTTAATATTAAGAGATTTACGTTTTAGACACCATATTTCCTCTTTTTGCTCTATTTCGCCAACAAAAATAATTCCAAGCACAGTCACAGCGCTGTTTTGCGTCTCTGAGGTAAAAATGACCATAAAAGGTAAAAATCTATTTAAACTTATTGGAAAAGATTCATTTCTGTCACTGCTGTGAACTGACCACCACACAGAATATGAATATTGAAAATTTTAGGAGTCAGCTGTCCACTGTAGTCCTTAAGATATCAGCACAGTAACACTCAGTCAAATTATTGTTACCGATAAAATCCCAGAAAATAATTTTTTGTCAATATCGCACACCCCTAGCTCCCAGCCGTTCGGTGCAACTGGCAGCGCTGAATGTCAAATTTAACACTGCATACACCATCCTAACCCTCGCCAAAGAAGAACTTAACTTTAGGTTATCTACAAAAGAAATCTGTCAGTGTTCTTTTCACTTTCTCTCTTCTTCAGCCCTTTTTTTTCTCGCAGTAGTTAGCGGAAAGCGGTGACTGAGAGATTGACAGCTAATATTAACCAATACAAAATCTGCATTAAAGTTAAGAATGTAAGGATAAAATCTGTTAATATATCATTTGTAGTTGTGGTGCTCCTAAATTTTTGCTGGTGCTCCTAACTTTTTGAAGTTGGGAGCACCAGTGCTACCAAGTAAAAAAGTTAATTTCGAGCCCTGTAATTGTCCAGCTATTCCATTTTTTTAATCCATGGCACATGCATTTTATATGTAGCCTAAGTAATGTTGTCCAATGACTTGTTTGCATTATTTTTTTTTATTTCTTTAAAGCAATAGATTTTTTGGCAACACTTTACAAAGCAACAATTTTTAAAGTATCATTTGATAATGCATTAATTAACATGAACTAACAGAGAGCAATTATTGTTACTATTATTAAGTTAAAAGTGAATCTATTGTTCTCTATTTGATCAAAGTAATAGCACACCTCTTCTGAACAGACAGCATGATTTGAAGAACCATTCATTCATGAGGTGAAGTTGCCGTCAGGGGTTTCTTTAAATCCCTCATCCTAGATATGCGTAATCTTAACAGTGATGCTTAGCAAACTCCAGACATTCAGCTGGGACTGTTTTCAAATCACTTCTACTGTTGTGCCAGACAGTGTCAGGCATTTCCCGGGCCTCAGTAAAAGCTTTCACCTGTACCTCTCTAGGCTTTCACACTCGCTCTCTTCTGCGATTCACTCTGGAGGGGTGGTGGGGGGGGGGATTCTTTTCTCTGCTGTACGTTGCTAAGCTGCACAGTCAGGTCAAATGGCACTTGGAAAGATGGTTCAGATTAGAGACACACAACTCTGCCAGAAAACACACACACACATACATACTGAGGGTGGGCTCAATAAAAGAGCCCAAGCCAACAAGAAATACAACACCACACATTTTTAGGCATGTGAACACACGTGCAAGAATTAAGACAGAAAGCAAAAAGACTATTAATCTGAATAAGATTTGCATTCTTGGTGAAAAAGCCAAATAAGCACAAACATAAACAAACACAAATGCTAAAACAGATCAAATAAATCGAAAAAGGGGGACCTTAAGGGGATGCCGCTTGCATTTATTATAGTCAAGACAACAAACAGCACACCACACAAAGTTCAACTTATGATGCAATATTCAAACTTCGCGAGCACGTCTAGTGAAAACGGTCATGTGCTGATGAATGACGACAACTCTGACACACCCACCCAGAAACAGAAACACAACACACAGGCTGCCAAGCCTGAAAGACTCTAACAACTCTAAACAACGACAACAACAACAAAAGGCGGGTGGACATTACCACCGCAGTATTTGTCCTTTTAAGATCAAAAAATACAGTTCAAAAAATACAGTTTAGTCAGCCTTATTTAGTTTCAAAGCCATTATGGCCACCTTTCTTGTACAAAACATAAAATTAAATGTTTATGATGCTATTTCCCATAAAATGAAAGTGAAAGAGGAAAAACACATTTAAAGTAGTCCATATAAATTGAGTGTAGTTGTAGTCCATATAACTTCTAAAAATACACTACCATTCAAATGTTTGTGGTCAGGAAACTAAATAAAAACGAAAGAAATAACACTAATATCTTTTTTCAGCAAGGATGTGTTAAGTTGATCAAAAGTGACAGAAAAGACATTTACAATGTATTTCTATTTCAATTAAATGCTGTAAATACAAGAATACTGAAAAATATGTATGATGGTTTCCATAAAAATATTAAGCAGCACAACCGTTTTCAACATTAATAATAAGAAATGTTTCTTGAGCAGCAAATCAGCACATTATACTGATTTCTGAAGGATCGCGTGACACTGAAGACTGGAGTAATGATGCTGAAAATTCAGCTTTACATCACAGGAATAAATTGCATTTTAAAATACATTCAAATGGAAAACGGTTTTCTTAATTTGCAATAATATTATATTTTTACTGCATTTTATTGAGCAAATAAAAGCAACCGTGGTGAGCATGTGGGACTTCTTTCAAAAAAAATCTGAACGACCACAAACTTTTGAGCAGTAATGCAGTTGTATAGACCACATTTATGCTACTTTTAAAACATTTTACGTTTAAGATAACCATTTAAAACATCCCACCATCTGTTGAAAATAACCTGCATAATGGAATTATAATCTGCCAAATATGAATATGACCAAGGCAGATGTCCCATACATGAAATGATTTAACACTGACTGTCAATCTCAGCTAACTGACTGCATGATTATGTAAAGCGGTGTGTTGATCTGGGACGTGTTGTTGACTGTTTCTAACTGTCAGGGTGGGTGTATGTAAACGGGGAGGATCCTCAATCCTCACTACAACAGCTGTTCGGTCTCTGAATACAGGCAATAATGAACTGCTGTGCAGGATTTCTCTTGCATAACGTTAGACAGGGAGAGAAAGCAGTGCTGCAATAACAGAAAGGACACCAGTAATACAATAGCCACACAAGACAATAAAATGCACTACAGGGACACCAGCAGCAGGAGTCACAAGATTCACAGCGTGTCCTACAGTCAATGGCTCACTGTGTAACGTTAGCTGCTTTCTCTCTCACACTTTAGATGCAATGTAACAGGATTCCCAGAGAGCAAATCATCTTCAAATGACCAATTACAATCACTACTCACCAATCACAGCGTCTGCACGGACCTATGCACTTTTAACACACTGACTGACGGATTCAAAAACAAACGTGTTTAACGGATGCCACGGCAGTTATTCATCCTACAGTCCCTTTGAGTGCGCTGTACAGTGCGCCCCCACAGCCCTTCATCAGCGTTAGTATGCACTACTATTTCTCTTCTTATCTTTAGCAGCTCTATAAATAGGGAGCGAGAGATTTTCGGACTCAGATTTCAGTCGCGGCGCTCAGAATAGCGGACTATCAGCAGGAAATAACAACAAGGTAAGCGAAACAAAAGCATCAGTACGTTATAAACCGATGAGATGCGTTTAAGATTTAAAAAAAAAAGTGACGGTTGAGGAATAACTCCGTCTTTTGGAGCTTTTAGCGCTGTTGTGATTGCACGCAACGAACTCTGTGGTTCACTTAACAATTAAAGTTGCCTTTAAACGACCGTTCGTCACTAAAATGTAACCCAAAAAAATGAATTTGACGCTGTTAAACTCACCTGTTTGCTCCTCACAGAGTGAAAGTCCAGTAAACGCTGGAGCGCATCTCTCTCATTCCCGCCTCAAGAGTCCCAGATTACCTCAAAGGATTAAACACGACAAAAACAGCCCCCAAACTCCACAAACAGTCCGCAGTTCCACTCATAAAGCGCAAAAAGCGACTCTCACCCAGCGACACTCCTCTTTCCTCGTAAGAGGGGGATTTTCGGGTGTGCAGTGTGTGTGTTTGGAAGAGGGAGTGTGTATGCGAGGATCTGCTTCAGCAGTGAGAGAAACTGAAGCGGTCATGTGACCCGCTAATCCGCCTCTTCTCTGAGCGCACAAATCCGATCGACCAATCAGAAGGCAGGATACACACTACGCCCCGCCCACTCGTCTCCAAGCTAGAAGAATTAAAGGTCAGTGTTTACGATACTCTCCGTGCGTGGTGTGTGAGAGACTGTATGCCACAAATCCACACTATACCTGAATCACACGAGCGGTCAGCACATAGAAGAAGACAGTTGTGATTCAACACAACCGTGTAAAAAAATCTGCCAGATTTATTGTCAACTCAAAATATGAGCAATGCACAGCAAAGTGTTCCACTGCATTCAATCAATGCTTTGGGTTCAATACAAATTCAGCTCTATCGACAGCATCTGTGACATCCTGTGGATTACCAGACACCAATTTCGACTTGATCGTTTGTAAAAGCAAGCAAAATTTGCATTTACTGTAATACACACATAATGGAGGTCTATGGGCAAGACATTCTGAATTAATTACAAGCAGAAACATGCAGATGATATTTTTTATTAATTAATTCTTCTATACAAAAGGGTTTTATTTAAGACATTAAGTCGTCAATCATTCTTTTAGCAACCATCCCAAATTTCTGTAGCTCCGTCCCTTTTCTGTCTTCCAGATTATATTTCCACAGCATGAAAGTAAGATCTGATTTATGAATGAACCGCTCGTTTTAAAACCTTCCAGGTCTACTGACATTTGTCATGACATCCGCTTCGACATTACAATGCTCATGATAAATTTCCTTAACTCTACAATAAGTAAATCCACTTCACCAGCTAATTTCTCCTCAACAGTGATGCTATGAATATACACAGCTACTGTATGTTAGCATGTTTTACGTCTTATAGGTACAGTTCCGAAAAAAGCTGTGGTGCAATGTCTTGCCCCATAAATGTATTTATAATTTTTTAATCAGTTTTAATCATACTATTTTCACAATTTTAACAGCATCTCATGTTACCATGTTTAGTGTTTAACTCGTGGCTATAATTTCGAAAATTATTCTGGTGCAATGTCTTGCCATACACTTCTACTGTAAACTCATTACATAAACTGACTTTGTTTTTGTTTTTTTGTTTTACAAATAAATGAAACTCTGTAATGATACAATAGTATGAGTCAGTTAGTAGTGTTTTGAATATAAATTATAATGTAAAAACCTGATACAACAAAAAATCTAATTTCATAACTGGCCTCTAAAAGCATCCAGCACAAGTAAATAAACTAAACTGAGTAACTATTTCCTAAAAAACCTGCCATCCAGAGGATTGGAGACACTTCATATCACATACAGATAATGACTTACTGATAACTTACGTATTCTTCTATTCATTGTCCTTGTGTGTGTGTGTGTGTGTGTGTGTGTGTGTGCATGTTTATGTGGTTTATGAGGACACACATTTGTATAATAGCATGGGTATGACATAGGTATTACAACGAGAAGGTGATTTATGAGGACATTTTCAGTGTCCCCGTAATTCAAAAGGCTTATAAATAATTCAGAATTCGTTTTTTTGAAAATCTAAAAATGCAGAAAGTTTCCTGTGAGGGGTAGGGTTGGTGTAGGGCAATAGAAAATACGGTTTGTACAGTAGAAAAACCATTACGCCTATAGAGAGTCACCATAAACCATAAAAACAAACCTGTGTGTGTGTGTGTGACATCTGTAACAAAATTCCCGACTAGAACATGAAGTTAGCATCTGCAGGTAGATGCCATAGTGTCTTTGCTGTGTACTATGCCTTTTTATATTTTGTCAAGAAACATGTGAAACCACAAATAGTGTATTATAGTACAGTAGATACTTTAACATTTTTGTGGACTTTTATAAAAAGGTCAAATGGGTATCAAAAGAGTAGACAGACATGTCAGACACTGATATCATATCACACTCATAAATCTCTCTCATAAACCTTTTCCTGTCAACATAAACACAGATAAACATAACTCACTCACACACACACATCTTATCTCAGATGACATCAGGGAAGTAAGGATCATTCCTCCCATATGACTGTTGTGTACACAGACATCCAACAGTACAGTAAAACAGACCAAACAGATATGAATTCAACCTGCCACTTAAGAAAATGTAAAAAATAATGTGCAATTTAATGTATGCATTTTGGAACAAGATTTGAATCACTAATTAAAGCCAAAGTGAACCAATAACTTACATTCAGCAATAAGAGATAAAAAGAGAGAGACATACAGACAGACAGACAGACTATAAATAAAATGGTTTCCATGAGACAGTTCACAAAAGTCCAGTGGGAGGACAGTCAATCAGATTGACAGCCAGAGGACATGCAGGAATTCCTTTGTCTCGTGGTTTGGCCTGAAATAAAGCCTCACTTCTATGGAGACTATGCCCTGTTATCGCTCCCTTTCCCACAATTCCCTCTGCCTACTGTTTGACATTCAGCAGCAATACCAACTGAACAGGTGCAAATGTGTGTGCGTACTTCCCCATGGTCTTACGCAAACACACGCCTCACTGTTTACTCTGTCTCTGATGGTTCTGCTCCATGTTTCCCACAGGTATCTCATTGTACGAGGCCTGCGTGCATTACGTGATGCAAAAATGTTGGAATGCAAACACAAGACCTCATCGCAGACCACTTTCCCCATCAATAACAGACATCCAGGTTTTGCACATGGTTTTTACACTTGGTTCGAACTGGATTTGAGTCGGACTTAAGTTGCCTCGATGGCTTCTCTGTGGAACATCAGTCTTTATCACTGTTTGTGTTCGGTGTGAAACCTATTGTTTGCTCGGATAAAAACGGTCAAATATAGCCCACAATTGAGGCTTCACACACATTTTTATAATATCAAATCAGGCCATCATTTCTTGTGTTTCGTCATAGTACGGCTCTTTTTATGTGATTTCAAAGGGAAGGGCAGAATCATTGTGGCCAGAGGCTAATATTTAACCCACCCTGACTTTTGAACAATGCGGACAGTGTATGTCAAATGACTCTTCCACACAAACACACACATTTAAATGACACTCTTACTAAACCTGCAAGTAAACTTGGAACCGAGACGAACTCATTCAATTGGTGATCTCAAGCATTTTTCGAAGATCAAGAACACACAAACAGCGTCTAAAAGAGACCGATGACTCTGGTATTGAGGGATAGAAATGAATTCATTTGGTAAACTAGCTCTGGAGTAGTAAAAATTGATGGGCAAATACAAACATCATGATCTAGACATGAAGACACATTAAAAGTAAAATCCTGTGTTTCATTAACCATTATTTTAGTGTAAAAGTCATGATTTAGGAATGTCTGAAAATGTATTTATATACTTGTTAATAATATAATCATATAATGTTTAAATATATATTTTAAATATATTATGTGTTTCAAGTCTTTGTTGCATAAAAGAGAAAAGGCTGGTTTTTAAATTTGACAGGGTTTACAGTCTGTTCCAAACTCTTGTGAGCAGGTAATGCACATTGTGCTTTTTGAGTAAATACGGTATAAAAGGACATTTAACTCTTTCCCTGCCAGCATTTTTAAAAAAACGTTTTAAAAAAGTTTGCATGGCCCACAGAATATTTTGTTGTATCAATATCTAAACATGCAATATGTCAAGGGGCAGTCATGGCCTAATGGATAGAGTCAGACTTGTAACCCAAAGGTCACGGGTTCGAGTCTCAGTAACGGCAGGAGTTGTAGGTGGGGGGAGTGAATGTACTGTACAGCGCTCTCTTGAACAATTGCTCCCAAATGGTATGTTTGTGTTCACTACTCATTGCTGTGTGTGTGCACTTGGATGGGTGAAAGGCAGAGCACAAATTTTGAGTATGGATTACCATACTTCTCACACTACTGTCACTTTCAAAAGAACAGAGCCTCTAGTTTTATTCTAGTTTCATGCGTTCTTTTTCTAAAAAAATTATCAACACTTGAATGTTGAAAGTTTCATTAAAAAAGAACCATTTTCAACAAAAAGCTAAGAAAATCGCGTTTTGTCAAAGACTATGTCCGGATCAGATTCAGATCGTTGATCAAAACATAGGTAGAATTGATTGAGTCCAACAACACCCTCAAAGCTTCCAGAGTCCACTTTCTGGGTCGTCATTTCATTCGGTAACATTAGGCAGTTTTTATGTTGATTTATGTTGCGAATCAGCTCATGGGGAAATATGAATAATTAATCATAACTAGTTATAATTAATTATAAACATTTAGATCCGCTGTAGATATTTACTTGACCTCTCAGGGTCAACTGTCTGTCAATTCTAAGAATGTTAATTTCCTGGTTAAGGGAAATAACTTTCATACTGTACAACTCTACACAGAGCTTGTAGCATAAATCTGTATGATTAGGGACTCCAGTTATGAGCAAACAATGAACAACGTCAAGTGTGATACAAGTAAGACTTTATTAACTACATAAACACTTAAACTAGTCTAACATACTACATAAACATACACACATACAGTTGGTATAGGAAAGGGTTAAAGCTTAACTCAATAAAGAGGAGAGAAAATAAGAATATGAACTTATGGAACCATTTGCATATTCAGCAGATCTACCGCCTGAAGGAACATCAGATTCTTAGTCCAAACACACCTTTGTAAAAAGGTGCAAATGATACCTAATGTATCAATTAACAAGACTAAGTTTGAATACTTGCACGTCTTATATATTGTGTGTTTGATTGGTCCAGACGCTACACTAAATAGATACCTGGTAATAATTACCATGGAAATGCACAAAAAATAAACAGATCTTCTGAATGCGCAACCATATCAACTTCATTACACATAGGCCTAGATATCAAAACGTGGGCTGGATAAAAGGGACATTACCTTCATATTTTGTCCAAAAAATCTGACCTGGTCAGGGAGTAAAAGGTGAAATTTCCTGCTAGGTGTACCGACTTTTCCAATAACAGCGGATGCAGCTTGACAAATACTGTAGTTTTCACTCAGCTGTGACCTCTCAGTAATTGTATGCTTTATCTAGAGAGAGTTCCTCAAGGGAAATGATTTGACCTTGAACTGTTTGAGTTTTGAGCTGATT